ATGGGGAAACAGAACAGCAAGCTACGGCCAGAGATGCTTCAGGACCTGAGAGAGAACACTGAGTTCTCTGACCATGAACTACAGGAGTGGTACAAGGTCACTACATAGTACACAAGCACACACACACACACACACACACGCACACACACACACACGCACACACACACACGCACACACACACACGCACACACACACACGCACACACACACACACAAAAACACATACACACAGGCACACACACACAAAAACACAGGCACACAGATAAGATAGCGCCGTACTGATGGCAGCCGTTTTGCAAGCTCCGACCCAACTGTGCTATTTTGTCATTATTTTGTTGTTTATTTTAACTTCATTTTCTCCATTTCTTACAACCGACAAGAACGTTTGAACGTGCTACAGGACTGCTTTGCTAACGCTGACTGGAATATATGTTTTGGGACTCTGCAGATAACGTCGACAAGCTAATCACCTCTGTCACCGGCTTCATTAGGAAATGCATCCCCACAGTTAAGGTTCGCTGCTTCCCCAATCAAAAAGCCCTGGGTTAACACTGAGGTTGGCGCTAAACTAAAGGACAGAGCTACCACACACAGGGCTATCCCAGACAACCCTGGGGCTACGTCTGAGGACAGGAACAAGTACAAGATGTCCCACTATGATCTTGCTCTCTGAGGCCAACGTGAGTAAAGTCTTTAATCAGGTCAACACCCGCAAGGCCACAGGGCCCGATGGTATTCCAGGGCGCATTCTCAGAGCATGTGCAGAACAGATGGTAGGCATATTCACAGTCATTTTCAACCTCTCCTTGTCCCAGTCTGTAATCATCCACATGTTTTAAGATGACCGCCATCATTCCTGTTCCCAAGAACTCTAAGGCTTCATGCCACAACGACTACCGCCCTGTAGCACTCACTTCTGTAATCATGAAGTGCTTTGATAGGCTGGTTGTGGCACACATTAACTCCACCATCCCAGCCACCCTAGACCCACTCCAATGTGCGTACCGCCTCAACAGATCCATAGACAACGCAATCTCAATTGCACTCCACACTGCCCTAACCCACCTAGATAAGAGGAATACCTATGTGAGAATGCTGTTCATTGACTACAGCTCAGCATTTAACACGATTATCGTCATCAAGCTTAGGACTCTGGTTCTGAACACCTCCCTCTGCAACTGGATCCTGGACTTCCTGACGGGCCAACCCCAGGTGGTGAGGGTAGGCAACATTTACATTTAAGTCATTTAGCAGACGCTCTTATCCAGAGCGACTTACAAACATCACCTCCAACCATGCTGACCCTCAACATGGGGGCCCCACAAGGGTGTGTGCTTAGTCCCCTCCTGTACTCCCTGTTCACCCACGACTGCGTGGCCACGCACGACTCCAACACCATCATCAAGGTTGCTGATGACAAGACGGTGGTAGGCCTGATCACCGGTGACGATGAGACAGCCTACAGGGATGAGGTCAGTGACCTGGCATTGTGGGGCCGGAAACAACAACCTCTCCCTCAACGTCATTAAGACCAAGGAGCTGATAGTGGACTGCAGGAAACAGGGGGGCGAGCACGCCCCCATCCACATCGACGTGGCTGTAGTGGAGCGGGTCGAGAGCTTCACGTTCCTCTGTGTCCACATCACTAAGAACTTAAAATTGTCCACAGACACGTGCACAGTCGTGAAAAGGTTTGGCATGGGCCCTCAAATCCTCATAAAGTTCTACAGCTGCACCATTGAGAGCCTCTTGGCTGGCTGCATCACTGCTTGGTATGGCAACAGCACCACCCTCCATCGCATGGTGCTACAGAGGGTAGTGCGTACAGCTCAGTACATCACTGGGGCCAAGCTCCCTGCCATCCAGGACCTCTATACCAAGCGGTGTGAAAGGAAGGCACAGAAAATTGTTAAAGGCTCCAACCACCCAAGCCATAGACTGTTCTCTCTGCTTCCGCATGGCAAACTGTACCGGTACATCAAGTCTGACACCAACAGGCTCCTGAACAGCTTCCATCCCCATGCCATAAGACTGCTAAATAGCTAACTAAATGGCTAACAAAATGGCTAACTAAATAGCTAACAAAATGGCTAACAAAATAGCTAACTAAATAGCTAACAAAATGGCTAACAAGATGGCTAACTAAATAGCTAACAAAATGGCTAACAAAATGGCTAACAAAATGGCTAACTAAATAGCTAACAAAATGGCTAACAAAATGGCTAACTAAATAGCTAACAAAATGGCTAACTAAATGGCTACACTATCTGAGTGGACCCTTGTACTTTATTCTTATTTTTACACTGTCTCTATGCAAATCACTCACAGGACCCTACAAACTCACACACACACTCACTCCATCATCTGATCACTCACACATAATATGCACATACATTTCTACTCACTCTACACACACGCACTCCCACTCACATACAAGCTGCTGCTACCCTGTTTATCAAATATCCTGTTGCCTAGTCACCTTACCCCTATACATATCTACCTCCATCACTCCAGTATCCCTGCACATTGTTAATATGGTACTGGAACTGACCCTGTATATAGTCACCTTACCCCTATACATATCTACCTCCATCACTCCAGTATCCCTGCACATTGTTAATATGGTACTGGAACTGACCCTGTATATAGTCACCTTACCCCTATACATATCTACCTCCATCACTCCAGTATCCCTGCACATTGTTAATATGGTACTGGAACTGACCCTGTATATAGTCACCTTACCCCTATACATATCTACCTCCATCACTCCAGTATCCCTGCACATTGTTAATATGATACTGGAACTGACCCTGTATATAGTCACCTGACCCCTATACATATCTACCTCCATCACTCCAGTATCCCTGCACATTGTTAATATGGTACTGGAACTGACCCTGTATATAGTCACCTTACCCCTATACATATCTACCTCCATCACTCCAGTATCCCTGCACATTGTTAATATGGTACTGGAACTGACCCTGTATATAGTCACCTTACCCCTATACATATCTACCTCCATCACTCCAGTATCCCTGCACATTGTTAATATGGTACTGGAACTGACCCTGTATATAGTCACCTTACCCCTATACATATCTACCTCCATCACTCCAGTATCCCTGCACATTGTTAATATGGTACTGGAACTGACCCTGTATATAGTCACCTTACCCCTATACATATCTACCTCCATCACTCCAGTATCCCTGCACATTGTTAATATGATACTGGAACTGACCCTGTATATAGTCACCTGACCCCTATACATATCTACCTCCATCACTCCAGTATCCCTGCACATTGTTAATATGGTACTGGAACTGACCCTGTATATAGTCACCTTACCCCTATACATATCTACCTCCATCACTCCAGTATCCCTGCACATTGTTAATATGGTACTGGAACTGACCCTGTATATAGTCACCTTAACCCTATACATATCTACCTCCATCACTCCAGTATCCCTGAACATTGTTAATATGATACTGGAACTTTCTTATTTTTATATTTAATATGTGTTTTTGTTCTACCTTGTTATTTTTAGTATTACATTGATATTGTTCACTGCATTGTTGGGGTTAGAACTTGCAAGAAAGGCATTTCACTCTACTTGTGCATGTGACCCAAAAAAATTAACTTGAAGCAAACACACACACATACACACCCACACACACGCACGCACGCACGCACGCACACGCACACACACACACACACACACACACACACACACACACTGTAGATGGATCACACACTGTTTTGATCATAGAGATCCTATATGTGTAATTATCCTGATACAAGACTCTTCTGTTCCACAGGTTTTCATCATATTACTTATTAAGCCTTTAATGACCAAGCAAACTACTTAGCACTACCGATAGGCTACATAGTTTAATACCAGGAAAGGCAGGCAGTATGACATAACGTCCCACCTCAGAGACCCGCTGGCGTCTATAATGTAATGTAATCACCTCTTTAAATGACATCTTGTGTCTACATGATATTTAACCTCTCTCCCCCAGCCTCTTATGGCAGATAAATTAAAGCTGGGACGATAAACCAAAAGTTATCGACACCGACCAAACCGGCCACTTATAGTAGACATTTAGCTGATATTACGATAAATAACCTACTAGAGAAATTTGAAATTTGAAATGAAATATGTTTGCTAATATGGGTAATCGTTGATGGGACAATTAATAACTACAACATTCAAAGTAGTAGTAGTAGTAGTAGTAGTAGTATCAGTAGTAGTAGTAGTAGTAGTAGTAGTAGTAGTAGTAGTAGTAGCAGCAGTAGTAGTAGTAGTAGTAGTAGTAGTAGTAGTAGTAGTAGTAGCAGTAGTAGCATTAGTAGTAGTAGTAGTAGTAGTGGTAGTAGTAGCATAAGTAGTAGTAGTAGTAGTAGTATCAGTAGTAGTAGTAGTAGTAGTAGTAGTAGTAGTAGCAGTAGTAGTAGTAGTAGTAGTAGTAGTAGTAGTAGTAGTAGTAGTATCAGTAGTAGTATCAGTAGTAGTAGTAGTAGTAGTAGTAGTAGTAATAGTAGTATCAGTAGTAGTAGTAGTAGTAGTAGTAGTAGTAGTAGTATCAGTAGTAGTAGTAGTAGTAGTAGTAGTAGTAGTAGTAGTAGTAGTAGTAGTAGTAGTAGTAGTAGTAGTAGTAGTAGTAGTAGCAGCAGCAGTAGTAATAGTAGTAGTAGTATCAGTAGTAGTAGTAGTAGTAGTAGTAGTAGTAGTAGTAGTAGTAGTAGTAGCAGCAGCAGTAGTAATAGTAGTAGTAGTAGTAGTATCAGTAGTAGTAGTAGTAGTAGTAGTAGTAGTAGTAGTAGTAGTAGTAGTAGTAGTAGTAGTAGTAGTAGTAGTAGTAGCAGGGTGCAGCCTCCAGCTGCAGTAGATAAACACTGTTGTGTTTTAACACCATTGTAATGTCGCCATAGATTAAATGCTGGGACGTAAAGTATCTGCTTTAACCGTAACCCTAAGAGAGTGGTGTACTCTCTGCTGGTGTTGGCAGGGGAGTGAGGGCTACACAACCTTGGTATGAAGTGACATAAGCCCAGGATTCTATGGTGACATAGTTATGATTGTTGTGTCATTATAAAGAGAGCTCTGTGTTCTGATCAATCTCTTTATCGCTTGGGGCGGTGTGATATATTTTTCGTATTGTCACATACATTTTCCCAGAAGGCCGTAGTAAATGTATTTTGTGTCATCATTGACATCACTGGGTTTGATCTAAAGCCATGGTCATTATCTACACAATCTGTTAGCTGTGAGAGAGGATGTTGGCGTGGACCCGGAGGTCTTGGTCATTTCCTTTAATGACTATTCACCTATGAAATGATTGGATACATTATCAGTTACCACCATATTGCTTACCATTACCAAGCACATTGACATCCTCCATCTCTCTCTCTCAGGGTAGAATAGGTCATTCTATGACATACTGTATATTTAATCCTGTCTCTCCCTCCATCCCCCAGGGCTTCCTGAAGGACTGTCCCAGTGGCAACCTGAACGTAGAGGAGTTCAAGAAAATCTACGCCAACTTCTTCCCTTACGGAGATGCCTCCAAGTTCGCTGAGCACGTCTTCCGAACGTTCGACACAAACAATGACGGCACCATCGACTTCCGGGAGTTCATCATCGCGCTGAGTGTCACGTCACGGGGAAAGCTGGAGCAGAAACTTAAGTGGGCCTTCAGCATGTATGACCTGGATGGGAATGGGTACATCAGCCGTGATGAGATGCTGGAGATCGTACAGGTGAGACATGGGATTTGTAGTCCTGATGGAGGTCATACAGGTGAGAAGGTCCACTTCAGTTTCTGCTCCAGCTTGCCCAGCTCGTTTTCTGTAGTCAGTGTTTCTCATTCAAAAGTGGATGAATACATCCTCCTGGTTCCTCTCTAGGTTTCTTCCTAGGTTCCTGCCTTCCAGGGAGTTTTTCCTAGCCACTGTGCTTCTGCCTCTGCATTGCTTGCTCTTTGGGGTTTTAGGCTGGGTATCTGTAACGCACTTTGTGACACCTGCTGATGTAAAAAGGGATTTATAAAATACATGTGAATTTGATTGATTGATGAACAGACACACTAGTCATGATGAGGTGATGGAGATCCTACAGGTGAAACAGAGAAAACAGGGAGAGAGTTTTGGTGTGAGCTGTATGTAGTTCAATGAAAGAAAGTGTTTTGTACTACGATGGCAAATGTGGCAGAGGCAAACTGGTCGTTGCTAGCTTAGCCTACTGTAGCAGAGGCAAATTGGTCGTTGCTAGCTTAGCATACTGTAGCAGAGGCAAACTGGTCGTTGCTAGCTTAGCATACTGTAGCAGAGGCAAACTGGTCGTTGCTAGCTTAGCATACTGTAGCAGAGGCAAACTGGTCGTTGCTAGCTTAGCATATTTTAGCAGAGGCAAACTGGTCGTTGCTAGTTTAGCATACTGTAGCAGAGGCAAACTGGTCATTGCTAGCTTAGCATACTGTAGAAGAGGCAAACAGGTAATTGTTAGCTTAGCATACTGTAGCAGAGGCAAACAGGTCATTGTTAGCTTAGCATACTGTAGCAGAGGCAAACAGGTCATTGTTAGCTTAGCATATACTGTAGCAGAGGCAAACAGGTCATTGTTAGCTTAGCATACTGTAGCATACTGTTGTATGAGACCTGTACTACTAGCTGTTACCCTGAACTACTTATATTAACTTTTATGGTACAAGCTTTGTCCCTGTTCCCTAGACTTATGACTAGGGCCCATAGAGAATAGGGTGCAATTTGGGATGAAGCCTTAATGTTTTTGGCAGCTGACCTGTGCAGAATACAGCCCTTACTTCCTGATTAAATGATCATGTGACTTGCCACGTCTAACTTGATTATCTGACCTAGCGATGGCCAGATCTGATTTGCTGTATCGTGGGCCATATGAGAAATGGAACAGCTAGCGTGATTCAGATTCTGCAATATGGTCAACAGGCTATCAAACAAGCTGTCATTGGCCTCATGGACAAGTAAACTGTGACTGTTCAAAAATAGGCATTTTTAAAACCTGACCTGGGTAAATCTAGCTTTGTATTTAGATAAAAAGGGAGATTCTGATACACAGTCCTTGGAAGGAATGACTAGGGTTACAAAGCTACCGGTATTTTATTTCATTTTTCATTTTTAGTCATTTAGCAGACGCTCTTATCCAGAGCGACTTACAGTTAGTGAGTGCATACATTATTATTTTTTCATACTGGCCCCCTGTGGGAATCGAACCCACAACCCTGGCGTTGCAAACGCCATGCTCTACCAACTGAGCTACATCCCTGCCGGCCATTCCCTCCCCTACCCCGGACGACGCTGGGCCAATTGTGCGCCGCCCCATGGGTCTCCCGGTCGCGGCCGGCTATGACAGAGCCTGGATTCGAACCAGGATCTCTAGTGGCACAGCTAGCACTGCGATGCAGTGCCTTAGACCACTGTGTTTTTATCTAAGTTACCGTAATCTTCAGTAATTTTGGTAATAAACAGAAAATCTATGGCAATCTATCGTACATTTGGGGAATTTTAGTAGATAGACCATATGGTTCAAGAGAAAATAGCCTAATTAATGAAAAAAGCATTGAATCAAAAATGGAATTATTTCCAATGAACTCTTCCAACTATTTACTTTTTTTACAACGCCACCATTTTGACGCCAAAACATTAACAAAAAATACATACTGACATAGTAAAATAAAATACAAATATAAAGGATATTTCATGCTGAAACCCTCATATTAAACACCAATGTTATTCACAAAGTTGATGATCTATATTTAGCATAATATTTTACAACTTTGTCATTCAAATTTTTTGTCTCTATTTTATATAATATTTTAATTATTTCATTTATTTTACATGTGATAAGGCCACACAAAGAGCCAGAGATTATTACAGACATCTGTGATAATCTGAATTACCCAAAAGGGCCACTAGATGTCTTTGAACTGTACCAACATTCTGGTAGTTTACTGGTAAACTTAGAAAGTTTCCAGTAATATACCCTCCCATTGCAAGCATGTTGACAGTGTGGCCAGTAAAGAGGTTAGATAGGACTAGCCTTTAATATCTGGGGATTATGTTATTCACCAGGTCTAGCCGAAGGTGCGAGGAACAAGAGGGAGAAAGACCGAGACAAATACAGAGAGAGAGAGAGAGAGACAGACAGACAGACAGACAGAGAGAGAGAGAGAGAGAGACAGAGAAAGAGAGAGAGAGAGAGAGAGAGAGAGAGAGAGAGAGAGAGAGACAGAGAGAGAGAGAGACAGAGAGAGAGAGACTGAGAGAGAGACAGAGAGAGAGAGAGAGAGAGGGAGAGAGAGAGACAGACAGAGAGAGAGACAGAGAGAGACAGATATAGATAGAGAGAGAGAGAGACAGAGAGGGTTCTGTATTGTTCTGAGAGCATGGATGGCTGCATGCACTGTGCGCTCCAGGATTAGTGAGTTAAATTTAACCAGGGTTTATCCCTGAGTGTGTAGAATACTGGGATGATCCTCTGGCTCACCGATGTTATGCTCTGGTGAATGAGAGGAGGAGAGACTTAGGATAGGAGAGGGAGGAGAGGAGAGGAGAGGAGAGGGAGGAGAGGAGAGGAGAGGAGAGGGAGAGAGGAGAGGAGAGGAAAGGAAAGGCCACACTATTATTACTGAGGGTGGAGAGAGAGAGAGATGTGTGAGAGTTGGATGAGGGGTGATGAAGGGGTGGAGAGAGAGACAGAGACAGAGGGAGACAGAGGTAGACAGAGGGAGACAGAGAGAGACAGAGGGAGACAGAGGGAGACAGAGGAAGAGACAAACAGGAGACAGAGGGAGAAGAGGGAGCAGAGGGAGACAACAGGGAGACAAGGAGACAGAGAGAGACAGAGGGAGAACAGAGGGAGACAGAGAGAGACACAGGGAGACAGAGGGAGACAGAGGGAGACAGAGGGAGACAGAGGGAGACAGAGAGAGACAGAGAGAGACAGAGGGAGACAGAGGGAGACAGAGAGAGACAGAGGGAGACAGAGGGAGACAGAGAGAGACACAGTGAGACAGAGGGAGACAGAGGGCGACAGAGGGAGACACAGGGAGACAGAGAGAGACACAGGGAGACAGAAGGAGACAGAGGGAGAAGGGAGTTACCCTGTAAATATTATTAGGAACTGAGTTGTGAAAATAATGAGCGTGTGATTGTGCGTCAGAAAAGCTTGGCCTCTCTGTCGCTGCCACACTTCACTCTGGCATAGACAACAGCATATGTCTCCCCAATCCATCCCACAACGTCACATCTGGCTGTTATCCAGCAACTGGTTATTGCAGAAAAGATGTAGTCAGAAGTGAGAAGAACATCCTTCGACTGAATGTAATAACGTTGGACTTGAAAATACGTGGAAAGAAAAACAATGGCCCTTAAGGCCTTGGTAGCATTCATCTTTCAAGAGTCTGGTATTTCAGTTTGCCACTTCTCATAGCCTGCAATGTCCTTGTGGGACAAAATAAACTCAATGAAACACTCATTCTTTAAAGGTAATATGATACTGCTTCAGGTGCTAAGCTGCTGGAACAACATTATTATAGATATTATTCAGGGGTTGCACCTCCGTCACTCAGTCGCGTCATGCCATTGTTAGGAACGTTCTTAAAGGGGCAATCAGCAGTTTCTACATAAATGTTTTGACATATATATAAATACGTACCCATTGATTCTTGAAAAATATAACTTATAAAATGCCTCATGAGTTAGTGCAACTGCCATTTCCCATTACAAACCAAAATAAAAGCTTGTTTTGCTTCAATGTTTGTAAACAAAGTAAATGGAAACAAACACTACATAGCCTCAAAACATGATTAAAACTATCATATTGATATCTTGGATGGTCAGTCCTTGAATTCATAGCTCTGTCTACGAATTTGAAAGTGGCTATGTTTCTCCAGCCCCATCTCTCAGCTATATACCAAATCAGTGGCGGGTGTCCACTTTGTTTTTGCTTGAACTGCTGATTCCAGCTTTAAAAGCCTCCGAAAGGCATCTGTTCATTCTGAACGGGGGATAATGTCTGTCAATTTCAAAATTACACTATAGTGTCCTGGAAATACGATGACATTGCTAAAGTAGGCAAATCATTTGTAGGAAACAACTTTGCCATCACTGAAGATCATTATGATGTTGTAAAATGTACTTTAGAGAGATGACAATGTTGCCATTAGCTAGCAAAGTTCATAAAAATAGCTAGCAATGCTAACGTTAGCTAGCAAAAATTTGGAGCAGTCCTCTCAACCTTAGCTAGCTAGCTAATGTTATGCTGCATCTAAAGTCAATCTGGCGTCATCACAATGCTGACAAAAGGTTTTCCTGTTAATTATTTGTCTCCTTTTGAAATGTCATCATGTTTTCCACCCACGGTAGAAGACATCTTCATCAGCGCGCATTAAGAATGCACTAAGCGTAATGCTCAGTTGTGCATCAGTCCTAAAACGAACATTAAAAACAATGTTGTGACAAAACGTGCAACCCCATGATTAGTTATGCTTTTCTGTGTTAGCCCACAGTGCAGGGGAGGGCAACTATATAGCTGAATCAGGCGTGTTAGTGACGGGCTGGACCAAAACCCTGCATGCACTGTCACTCTTCCCCACCCTTGAAGCAGAGGCTAGGCCTGCATCCCAAATGTCACCCTATTCCCTATATAAGGCCTATAGAGCTCTGATCAAAAGTAGTGCACTATATAGGGAATAGGGTGACATTTGGGATGCAAACCCATTACTACTCTCAGGGGGTCTTGTGATATGCAGATAGAGGATGGATACGATCGATACAGAAAGCTATGCTCTCTTCAGCCTACAGCAATGACTCAAGTGGATTTCCCCCTCTGTGTTCTCTGCTCTCACTCTCGGCTTCTCTTTAAACCATCCATCCTATCTCCCTCTGCTCTCACTCTCGGCTTCTCTTTAAACCATCCATCCTATCTCCCTCTGCTCTCACTCTCGGCTTCTCTTTAAACCATCCATCCTATCTCTCTCTGCTCTCACTCTCTCTTCTCTTTAAACCATCCATCCTATCTCTCTCTCTCTCTCTCGCTTTCTCTCTGTTTCCACTTTTCTTGAACTCGATCTTGTTCACTCGCTCTCTCTCGCTCGCTCTCTCTCAATTAAATTCAATAAATGCTTTATTGGCATGAATGGGTGGTTGCCACTGTTGCCAAAGCAATGTATGTGAAGCATTACACTAATGAACAATATGTTTGAGCAACAGTAATAATATATATCAACACAAACAATTATACCTGGAAAATAATACACTAAAATATAACAAACAGCAACAATTGAGAAATTAAATGTGTGTGACACGGTGGGATCTACTGTCTCTACTATATTATGACAGACCAGGACATCAGATACAGTGGGGGAAAAAAGTATTTAGTCAGCCACCAATTGTGCAAGTTCTCCCACTTAAAAAGATGAGAGAGGCCTGTAATTTTCATCATAGGTACACGTCAACTATGACAGACAAATTGAGAATTTTTTTCTCCAGAAAATCACATTGTAGGATTTTTTATGAATTTATTTGCAAATTATGGTGGAAAATAAGTATTTGGTCACCTACAAACAAGCAAGATTTCTGGCTCTCACAGACCTGTAACTTCTTCTTTAAGAGGCTCCTCTGTCCTCCACTCGTTACCTGTATTAATGGCACCTGTTTGAACTTGTTATCAGTATAAAAGACACCTGTCCACAACCTCAAACAGTCACACTCCAAACTCCACTATGGCCAAGACCAAAGAGCTGTCAAAGGACACCAGAAACAAAATTGTAGACCTGCACCAGGCTGGGAAGACTGAATCTGCAATAGGTAAGCAGCTTGGTTTGAAGAAATCAACTGTGGGAGCAATTATTAGGAAATGGAAGACATACAAGACCACTGATAATCTCCCTCGATCTGGGGCTCCACGCAAGATCTCACCCCGTGGGGTCAAAATGATCACAAGAACGGTGAGCAAAAATCCCAGAACCACACGGGGGGACCTAGTGAATGACCTGCATAGAGCTGGGACCAAAGTAACAAAGCCTACCATCAGTAACACACTACGCCGCCAGGGACTCAAATCCTGCAGTGCCAGACGTGTCCCCCTGCTTAAGCCAGTACATGTCCAGGCCCGTCTGAAGTTTGCTAGAGTGCATTTGGATGATCCAGAAGAGGATTGGGAGAATGCCATATGGTCAGATGAAACCAAAATAGAACTTTTTGGTAAAAACTCAACTCGTCATGTTTGGAGGACAAAGAATGCTGAGTTGCATCCAAAGAACACCATACCTACTGTGAAGCATGGGGGTGGAAACATCATGCTTTGGGGCTGTTTTTCTGCAAAGGGACCAGGACGACTGATCCGTGTAAAGGAAAGAATGAATGGGGCCATGTATCGTGAGATTTTGAGTGAAAACCTCCTTCCATCAGCAAGGGCATTGAAGATGAAACGTGGCTGGGTCTTTCAGCATGACAATGAACCCAAACACACCGCCCGGGCAACGAAGGGGTGGCTTCGTAAGAAGCATTTCAAGGTCCTGGAGTGGCCTAGCCTGTCTCCAGATCTCAACCCCATAGAAAATCTTTGGAGGGAGTTGAAAGTCCGTGTTGCCCAGCGACAGCCCCAAAACATCACTGCTCTAGAGGAGATCTGCATGGAGGAATGGGCCAAAATACCATTAACAGTGTGTGAAAACCTTGTGAAGACTTACAGAAAACGTTTGACCTGTGTCATTGCCAACAAAGGGTATATAACAAAGTATTGAGAAACTTTTGTTATTGACCAAATACTTATTTTCCACCATAATTTGCAAATAAATTCATTAGAAATCCTACAATGTGATTTTCTGGAAAAAAAATTCTCATTTTGTCTGTCATAGTTGACGTGTACCTATGATGAAAATTACAGGCCTCTCTCATCTTTTTAAGTGGGAGAACTTGCACAATTGGTGGCTGACTAAATACTTTTTTCCCCCACTGTAGATCAACTGTCTATATTTTCCCCTTTAACAAAATGCAGATTCTCTCCTCAACAGGCAGCAAGACATCCTACAATTATTTCTTTAAATTCTCTCTCTCGCTCTTTTTCTTGCTCCCTCCCTCCCTCCCTCCTTCCCTCTCCCTCAGGCCATTTATAAGATGGTGTCGTCTGTGATGAAGATGCCGGAGGATGAGTCCACGCCAGAGAAGAGAACAGACAAGATCTTCAGACAGATGGACCTCAACAACGATGGTGAGGGAGGAGGGAGGGAGGAGGGAAGGGATGGAGGGAGGAGCGAAGGGGGAGGATGGGTGGGGGTCACTGTCAGGTTATAGTTTTGAGAGCGTCTGAGCAGTATTTCAGTTCTCTCTCTCTCTCTCTCTCTCTCTCTCTCTCTCTCTCTCTCTCTCTCTCTCCCCCTCCCCCTCCCCCCAGGTAAACTGTCACTGGAGGAGTTCATTAAAGGTGCCAAAAGTGATCCCTCCATCGTGCGGCTACTCCAGTGTGACCCCAGCTCCGCCTCCCAGTTCTAACCCCGCCCACCTGGCCTGCCACGTCCACCCCGATTGCTATGGAAACACTCCAATCAGTGCATGATGGTTCTCGTCTCTCATATCTTTTTGGTGTACAAGTTGGAATAAGAGATTTAAAATGAGATAAAACAAAAATCATTGTAATTTAATTTAAAAAAATATATAAACGAAAGAAGAGACAAGCATAGATTATTATTAAGAAGATAATTACGACAACTGATAATTACGCCAAGGCGTTCCGTTGTCCGATGTGTTTTCCCGTCTCTCTCCGGATCCGGAAGGATGAAATTCTGGAAGGAAGGGATGGAATTCCGCTGAGCACCGCTGCCTCACAACATCAGGAAGTCCGTCGGCCATTTTTACAAAGTCGGGAATTTTGGGGAAGAGAATTAAGGGAACATTCCATCCTGAGAACCATGCATGACCTTCTGTATTCTAATCATTCTGTTCCATAGATTCTGTTTCTCCTCCAATCAAGGCACAGCTTCTCCAATCCTCTTCCACTTTTATATCCATGTTTATGTGTATATAGAATGCATATATATGACATCATACAAAATGAATAGCCAAGTATATCTGTCTTTATAACTCTGGTTGCATTCAGAAGGCAGTATTATGTAGCTGAGTTGTTTGCTCTGATCCGATATAGGAATTCCATAGCGGTTTTCCATAGAGGGAATATGAGACTGAGAAAGGAAAAGGAGTTGGAATTTTCCTGTTATATGATCTTTCACTGGTGAAAAGAAAGCTGTTGAAGATACCATTGGGTTTTTATTATTAATTGATTATACATTTTATTTTTTAACATAATATTGTTTTCTTCCTCATGTTGTTTACTTGTATTGATTTATTTTAATTATTGTGGTTTTAATTTGATTTGTCATTGAAGACGATCGTAACCCAGTAATGGAGAAGAGTAGAAAAGAAAGAAAGAAAGAAAGAAAGAAAGAAAGAAAGAAAGAAAGAAAGAAAGAAAGAAAGAAAGAAAGAAAGAAAGAAAGAAAGAAAGAAAGAAAGACTTGGATAATGACTTGTCTTTGGAAACCGTCCGTCTCATATCTGTCGAAGATGGAATGTTGAGATTCCAAAACTCGGCATGGAAGGAACATTTGATTCCACAATGCATTTGGGCAACGAAACCAGTAGCAGCACATCATATATTTTGAGCCGCCACGAGTGTATGCATGCATGCATGTATGTATGTGTGTGTGTGTATGTCTGAGTGTGTGTGTGTGTGTGTGTGTGTGTATGTGCATGTGTGTACAGTGTGCATGTGTACAGTGTGTGCATGTCCAGGCTAACTTAACAGTCTAATCAATTTGTGTTGTTTATTAACATGTAATATAAGTATTTAAAAGTTATTTATTTCAACACTTTATCGCATCACTGAGCAGTAAAGTACAGTAGTCACATCGTCACACACCACACTGCATGGTACGAACAAAAAATACAAACAAAA